CATGTGGGAGGGCTTTTCTTTCCTTCTCCTTTATGTATTTTTTAATGGGAGGATGGAGTATAAAACAGGGTTTCACAACCAATGTTCTGTTGGTTATATTTAGGAATAGCCCTTAAGAGGTCGGAAGGGGACTGGATCTCCTCTCCTGAGCAGCCTCTGATTCCTCAGTGTGCCATATAGGGATTATCTTAAGCACATACAGCTAAGATGTGGGACATTGGGCACTCTGGCCTGGCCCACTGGAGTCATGGTTCCACTCTTCAATGCAGGAGGTCAAYCAGGGGGACCTTCAGTAGCTCCTGTTGAGTCAGTGGCTTATACCATTTACCACATAATGTCAGGCTCCCTGGGAGGGCCGTCTCAGAGGCGCCACATGTTAACTGTTCTCTCATTCATAGTACACGTCGAGCTCCTCTGGTGGAGAAAGCTCCTGTGAGGAAGGTAGAATGCGCAGGCCCACCCAGCTGAGACCCTTCCATACCAGAGCCACGGTGGACCCCGACTTCCCCATTGCTCACCTGTCCAGTGATCCTGACTACTCCTCCAGCAGCGAGCAGTCTTGTGACACTGTCATCTACATCGGGCCTAACGGCACAGCCCTCTCCGACAAGGAGCTCACCGACAATGAGGGCCCCCCAGACTTTGTTCCCATTGTGCCTGCCCTGCAGAAGACCAGAGGTGACAGCCGGCCCACAGAGGCAGGAGAGGCTGCAGCCAGCAAATCAGAAAGGGACTGCTTGAAGTGTAACACATTTGCTGAGCTGCAAGAGAGACTAGACTGCATTGATGGCAGCGAGGAGCCCAGTAAGTTTCCTTTCGAAGAGCTGCCTGTACAGTTTGGGGCAGAGCAGGCGAGCAAATGCCCCTCGTTAAGCCAAGTGGCTGGGGCAAACTCACTCTCTGAGTCGGATAAGGAAGACAACGGGTCAGATGGCCCGCTGACTGATCGGGAAGGCACAGACAACCTGGCCTGTAAGATGCAAAGGAATCACTCCCCTGTGCCTGCCACAGCACGCTGCAGCAGCCCCACCCCAGCCTCACCCCGAAGCATCCCAGGCAGCAGCGGCCAGATGGTGCAGAGCCCCAGCCTCCAGAGCAGTCGGGAGAGCCTGAACTCCTGTGGCTTCATGGAGGGCAAGCCCAGGCCCATGGGCTCGCCCCGGCTGGGCATTGCCAGCCTGTCCAAGACCTCTGAGTACAAACCCCCTAGCTCTCCTTCGCAGAGATGCAAAGTGTACACCCAGAAAGGGGTCCTGCCAACCTCTGCCCCACTGCCACCCTTGAACAAGGATTCTGGCATGGTCTCTAGCGAGTCCTTGCTGCAGCCTGAGGTACGTACTCCTCCAGTTGGAATGAGCCCCCAGGTTTTGAAGAAATCTATGTCTGCTGGAAGTGAGGGGTTCCCAGAAACCCCTGTTGAGGATGAGCATCAGGCAGCATCTCCCCCAGACTCCAAGAAGGAGATCCTGAGCACCACAATGGTGACCGTGCAGCAGCCACTGGAGCTGAACGGGGAGGACGAGCTGGTGTTCACGCTGGTGGAGGAGCTGACCATTAGTGGGGTCCTGGACAGTGGCCGCCCCACCAGCATCATCAGCTTCAATAGCGACTGCTCTGTGCAGGCCTTAGCCTCGGGCTCCCGGCCTGTCAGCATCATCAGCAGCATCAGCGAGGACCTGGAGGGCTACTCCAGCATGGCTCCCGTCTCTGAGGTGAGCATCACACAGTTCTTGCCCCTTCCGAAGCTGAGCCTGGATGGGAAGGCCCGGGAAACAGGCAGCAGGCGTTCCTCCATCAGCTCCTGGCTAAGCGAGATGAGCGCCGGCAGTGATGGCGAGCAATCATGTCACAGTTTCATAGCCCAGACATGTTTTGGGCATGGGGAGGCCATGGCAGAACCTCCAGCCTCGGAGTTTGTTAACAGCATCCAGAACACTGCTGTGGTGTGCAGAGAGAAGCCCAAGGCAGGCCCTGACAACCTGCTCATCTTGTCTGAGGTCGGGGAAGACTCTTTCAACAAAGCCACCCCCATCAAAAGCTGCAAAATATCCACACTGGGCAAGGCCATGGTCACCATCTCCAATACAGCCAACCTGAGCAATTGCGAAGGGTACATCCCCATGAAGACCAACATCACGGTTTACCCCTGCATCGCCATGAGCCCTCGGAACGTGCAAGAGCCTGAGGCTTCTACTGCCATCTCCAAAACAGCTGCCAGAGCAGCCCCGTCCCAGGAGAGTAAAGAAACCAGTGCAAAGAAAGAGATGAAATTTGAGGACCCCTGGCTGAAACGAGAAGAGGAAGTGAAAAAAGAGAATGCTTTTCCCAGTGAAGAAGGGATTAGATATGAGAYTGCCACAGGCCCCACTAAGCCTGAGACCAGACCAGAGCAAGAACAGGATAGGAAGCCCAGCYCGGGCGAYAGGCTCAGCAGCAGCAGTGGASAGGTATCTGCCTCCCCAGTGACTGACAACTTCAAGAGGGTTGTGGATGGCTGTGAGATGGCTCTGCCTGGTTTGGTGGCCCAGAGCCCAATGCATTCCAGCAAAAGCCTGAAATCCAGCAGCCTTCCTAGAGCATTTCAGAAAGCCAGCAGACACGAGGAGCTGGACAGCCTCTTCTACCACTGCAGTGCCGACACCAATGGTCTGGGGACAACATCAGGCACCCAGGCCTCTAAGGCAACCCTGGAGCGCAAGGTGGCTTCACCCAAGCATTGTGTTCTTGCCCGGCCTAAAGGGACTCCCCCTCTGCCTCCTGTCCGCAAGTCCAGCTTGGACCAGAAGAACCGGGCCAGCCCCCAGCACAGTGCCAGCAGCAGCAGCACCAGCAGCCCCTTGAACCAGCCAGCCACCTTCTTGGCCAGCTTCCCTGATGAGCCCAGCAGCAAGATGAAGGACGCCAGTAGCAGCAGCAAGCTCTTCAGCGCCAAGCTGGAGCAGCTGGCCAGCAGGACCAACTCTCTTGGCAGAACAACAGTCAGCCACTACGAATGCTTGTCGCTGGAGAGGGCCGAGAGCCTGTCCTCCATGARCTCGCGACTGCACGCCGGCAAAGACAGCACCATGCCCCGTGCTGGCAGGAGCCTGGGCCGCAGCAGCGCAGGGGCCTCACCACCCAGCTGCAGCGCCACCCAGTCAGCAGGGGCGTCGCCCAAGGCCAGCCAGTCCAAGATTTCAGCAGTGAGCAAGCTCCTCCTGGCCAGCCCCAAAGCCCGCAGCCTGTCCACCCCCACCACCAAAACCCTCAGCTTCTCCACCAAGTCGCTGCCTCAGTCAGTGGGCCAGAGCTCCAATGTGCCCCCCAGCGGGAAGCACATGTCCTGGTCCACCCAGTCGCTCAGCAGGAACCGAAGCTCTGGATTGGCTTCCAAACTGCCGCTGAGAGCAGTCAATGGGCGCATCTCCGAGCTGCTGCAGGGGAATGGGGGCGCCCGGGGCTTGCAGGTACGGGCTGGACCCGAGGCGGAGGAGCGCAGTGGGGCCCCCGTGGAGGACAAGCCTGCAGCAGCGCACCTGCTGCCCTCGCCCTACAGCAAGATCACCCCACCGCGGAAGCCACACCGGTGCAGCAGCGGGCACGGCAGCGACAACAGCAGCGTGCTGAGCGGGGAGCTCCCRCCGGCCATGGGGAAGACTGCCCTCTTCTACCACAGTGGTGGCAGCAGCGGCTACGAGAGCATGATGAGGGACAGCGAGGCCACCGGCAGCGCGTCCTCGGCCCAGGACTCCATGAGCGAGAACAGCAGCTCTGTGGGCGGCAGGTGCCGGAGCCTGAAAACCCCAAAGAAACGGTCCAATTCAGGTAGGCGCTTGGGGACAGGGTCCCAGGAAGGTAAAGGGCAGGTGTGTGTGGGGTCCACTGCTCCCCTGTCCTCTGATGAGGGGACCTCCAGGTCCTGGGGATTGAGGTCTCATCTCTCCTTTCTGATATCCTTTCACTTGTAGGTCTTGGCTAGGGATAGAACCGCAGAAGGCTTCATTGTAAAAACTTGTTGTTATGTGCATCATTAGACCTTGAGGACGCCWCCGGCCCTCACTCTCAGCAGGGGGAAAGGCCAAGGTGCTGGATGCCCAGGAGCATCCATGAATCACTGGCTCTTCCTCCATAGCATCTCCTTACCTGGTCCCTGAGCCATGGCTTTATTTGCTCAAGCACTGTACTACTTTTTAGAGGTCTCTGAGAGATCAGATCAGGTTCCCTGACCTCAGGACTACAGAAACCTGTATGTGGGACTGATAGTCTCCAAGACCTTGGCAGCCTCTCTCAGGGATAGAGCATACTTTGATTCATTGAAGGYGCAGTAGGAGAAGCCTTCCTCCACTCCCACCCCAAAGACAGTCATAGACAGTCATGTATGGACTCCAGCCGAAGGGGTTGCACTTCTGTTCACACACACAGTGCCACACCGTATAGACCCACTCATGCACTACCACCACTGTGGTGGGARGGAGTCTTTGCCATCTCCAGGTATCTGTTGTCAAAAGGCAATACTCCAGAACTCAGGAAAACCACTGACATGTATGTCAGAGTTTAGTGTGACATGTAACAGTTAGTTCTGGTGGGCAAGGAGAAGAGAACTGTAGTACACATGGGGTAGGTGAGGTGAAAGACGGGAAGGAGAGAAGGAAGCAAGGAGACAGAAGCAAAAGTTACCAGGAATAACGAGATACTTGAGAATTTTGCCTGGAATCATTTCTATTCTTCAATGACTTCTAAAGAAATCGTCCTCATTCATTCTTTAGCCTCAGCATTCAAATACAAAAAGAATAATGCCAAGCCCCAAATGTAATGCAATTCTGTGCCTTGGTTGAAGTGCAGGTGGCAAGGGGCCTGTCCTGTGCCACCCTTCTGTGGAATTCTAGGCTCTTCAGAAGCCACTGCTTTGCAAAATATGGGTGTCAACAGCCTATTTGGGATTAAAAGATGGGGTGATGTTCAGAAAGGGCCCTTTTTCTACTGTGCCAGCTGCATCTGCAGCACCTGCTCCACAGACTTTTTCTATCAGTCATGACATTGCTTTTCCCTATTCCACCACCAGTGAGTTCCAGCTCTGGAATGTTCCAATCCAGATATAAGGACTCTGATCAGAGCACATCATAACCCTTTGTCTTCCTCAAATCAAAGAAATGGCCTTAAGGAATCATGCATTCATGCAGTTTTACATCCCCAGATGCCCCACTAGCCCACCTCACCCCATCATAACTCACAGAACATGGCTGTGAGGATGTTACATTCTAAGCATGTTTGGAAAACTTCATGGCTGTCAGCACCTTGATGTCTTTAGTTCCCAGTGGTGTGTGTTTCAGCATCTGATGCACTTGGTCTGTGCTCTGCTTCACCCACCTCAGTCTCAGCAGCAGACTTTGGAGCAGAACCCCCTATAAGACAAGTTGGAAGTGACAAGCTACTCAGTAAAACAAAACAGCTGCTGTGTCCTATCATCAGGGCCAAGGGCATTACAATGTGTTGGTATTAGTCACTAAACATAACAAAGTTTATCTATRCCACTATCTTTTTTTAATATTTATTTTTCAATTGTAGTTGGACGCAATACCTTTATTTTACTTATTTATTTTTATGTGGTGCTGAGATSGAACCCAGGGCCTCGCACGTGCTAGGCGAGCACTCTACCGCTGAGCCACAACCCCAGCCCTACGCCATTATCTTTGTGGGGAAGAAATATCTGCTGGCCTCCCCAGTACTTGACTGACAAATCCTGTTATTTCAACCTACCCAGTGTTGATCTTCAAATCCAGACGATTGTGTGACATTTGCTATGTGGTCATCTGTGTTTTAGTGTTAGAGAGTGCTTTCATTAGTTCTCTCTAATTAAGTGCCTTGAATTAATTGTTCTTTCACTGCTTTTTATTCTCTTTCAAGACTTTAATTTATTGGTTTGCCTGTTATAGTGGAAMAAAGAGGAGGAAAAAGATGTGAAAGAAACAAATGTGTACAATAGCTCCTTGGAGAGTGGCCACAGGTTCTGCACATGACCTTGCTCAGGGCTGAGTCCTTTCACAGGTGCTGTCTTTTGAGGGTCTCTCTTTAGGTAAGGCCTTTGGAGGAAATAATATGAAATTAAAATGTGATGGTAGGTGCTATAGATAGGATTTCATGTGGAGTGCCCAGAGCATCAGACCTTTGTGATCTGCTGCCACAGATCCGGGGCTCCATGATGGATTTGGTGGTGAAGTGGAGCTTGTTTCAGGTTAGGTGACCTTGTCTCACTTGTTTATGATTATTATTAAGAGAAATGCTGGCTGTGAGGTGTGATAAGCATCCATCAAAAACCACTTCTTTAGGAGAAACCATAAAACCCCTCAAAGGAAAATCCTAAGTAGATGGCTAATGTTTAGAATTACTAGAGATGAGACAGGCAGTTGTCTTTTATTTGAGATGGCTTTTGAGTTTGGAAAATTGTAATGCTTTGGTTATTTGCTTAACAAAAAGGAACTAGAATTTTATCATTGGGTAAATAACGGYGAGCACTCTTGATTTCCTTGTGATGCATATAACAATAGAAACCATCAAATATCACCACAGTTCATTATTCCAGCCTCATTCCTAGAGACCCATATTATTAGTGAAGAGTGAACATAATCAGGCTTATTCTTGTGGTCTTTGGTGGAATAGTGCAGTGAGAAGATTAATCCAGAAAGTAGAAGACATGGGATCTTGAGTTGTGTGATCTCTCAGAAATAATTAGCCACTCTGGGCTTCRGTTTTCTCATGTACAAGTTAAGTAAGGGATTTGGTAGATAATAGCCATGGTCTGCCTGCTGCCCACATCATAAGAGACTATGTCAATTAATACAAAGAATATTGATGGCAATATGACATCCTTTTCATAAGGCAACCCATTGTCAGTGAGTTTTATTTTTGGTTGTTATATCTAATAGTTTCCCATTACTRTAACAAAATACCCAAGGCAATCAACTTAAAAAGAGCAAAGGTATACTTTTTATTGTGGTTTCAGAGATTCTGGTCCCTAATCAAACAGGCCTGTTGCTTTGGGCAACACAGCATAGTGAGGAGTGTGTGGTGAAGCAAAGTCACTTACCTCATGGTGGCCAAGAAGCAAGAAAAAAAAAAAAAGAGAGAGAGAGAGAGAGACTGGATTCTCATTATCCCCTTCAAGGGCATGTCTCGGTGACCCAAGACCTCCTACTAGGCCCCTCCTCCGGAAGGTTCCCACCTCCCAGTCATGCCACGGGCTGGGGACCAAGCCCATAACGTATAGGCTTTGGGGTTATACCCAAAATTACACCACAGCACTTGTTAGGCATTCATCAGGCATGCACTCCTAGAGCTTAGTGATAAAGAAGGTTCCAGTGAGGGAGGAGTGTCAGCAACATAAATTACAAGGTGACTGTAAGAAGTCTGTAATTTAATTAGAGAGAAARGAAGAAAAGCATGAAATAGAGAATGGCGGCGGGGCGGGGACTGAGTGCTGCCCTGTGTGATTGGAGAGTACAGACATGAGCGTATCAGGTATTCTAGGTAAAGGCAGGACCCTGTGAGTCAGAGCAATGGTAGAAGGCTGCAGGGAAATACCAGGCCGGGGCCTGGTCTTGAAGGATCCTGATATTTTCACAGGCAGAAGGGGTGGAAGGCACTGGAGACTGAGGGAGTAATGGGAACCCAAGCTCCAAACTGCAAGACCAGGATCAAGAGGGGCCTATTCTTATTGAGAGTCTACAAAATGCAATCCCAGATTAAGTTACTCATTGACCATCCAGGAACTGAATAAAAGTGCCCACTATCTTACACTCTATATCAGTCTCTAAAAGTAAAATAAGAATATATATTATTGTAGTTGGCAGTGGGGAGTCATTACAGGTTCTTGACCAAGGAAGCCATGAGAGAAACTTTTAAGTTACTTAATGGATGGATTTTTCATTCATCCTTCCACAGTTCCTAGCCGGCCCCTCTGTGGTCAGTGACGTGAAATTGTATATAGCCTAGGGCTATGAATTAGAGCTATGTCAGCCAGCCCAAGAGGGGATCCCATGTCTGTCCCAGACAGAAGGCATGTAATTTTCTGAGGGTCTATCAGTCTATCAGTGGGTGKCGTATGACAGATGCTAAGGTAGCAACCATCAAGCCCCCTATCCTAACACTACCGCCTCCCTCTGAGTCTCACCTCAGTCATCATGTGAACTCTCCCCAGAGCCTCTCTATCTTCTTCCCATGGTCCTTCATTCCACCCTGCCCTCTTGGCTTCTTTCCCTGAACTGGAGAGGGAAGGCCAAGAATTACAGGAGCATCTTGGCCTGAATGAATCTCATACCTACTGCAGGGAGCCTAGGCCTGCTTCGATCCAGCATCCAGAAAGCTCCAGGGTGAGGGAGGGTCTGCCCACAGAGAAGCAACCCCAGGAAAGCCTGCTCATTCTGAGACACACAGAGGCCTTGACCTGATGGGACATGAGCTTCTACACGTCCTGTTTGCCCCTGCCTCAGSCTGCCTGAAACTCAGCACTGAGCAGGTGCAGGTTACCATTGAATACCRCTGATTGATGCATCAGTTGGTTGGTTGGCAGCATAACCCTAAAATTCAGCTCATATTTCTTTTCTATGTATTTTTCTTATCTTGTTCTGTTAGTGATAAGTGCYTGAAATGTTGAGTCTAGTCTCCTATTTCCTTTGTCAAAAAAGCACCAATCACGTGTCTTCCCTTCTCTTGGTGTCGGATAAACATTACTGACTGATGGGCCCATCTTGTGGGTTGTGATTTGCCACCTGTAGTGAATTGAGCTCCAGGGATACCAGGTTCAGTTCACAGAGCGCTACACAAGTATC